ATTTAGTTTTATTAATTTATCAATTTAAATTAAATATTTGGTATACCATATAAATAAAATAATATAGTACTAGTCAATCAAAAGAAAATTTATGTAATTGTGGTAGATTAAAAACATCTCGCGGGCCGTATAAACATTTGCCGCGGGTCGTGCTTTGGACAGCCCTGTTTTAGACTATAAGCTGCACCAATCAAACTACTTATTCTTGTACTGCTAAGTGATTTGTTTACTTTGAATGTTAATGCGACCCTTGACTCAGCCTTAACCAGCCTCAAAAGCAATTTCGTGCTTCGTAAATCCTCATCTCCTTGGGTCAACTCTTTCTATAATTTTAACTTGCATAATCAATTCATACACATTATATTTTTCTGTGTGCCTAAAGTCGGCATAAAGTACCCTAGTTTTCCACTAAATCTCTTTCCTAATTGAAGCATAAAAGCATGACTTGCTTTAGCATTGAATAACATGATTACTACCATTGATTTGTCTATAACTTCCCGAAAAAGCGATTTCATGCATTTTCGAAACCACTGTCGTACATTCTAAAACCACGATATGTTTCGTGTCCCTGGATCACACATCTTCAATAATCAATTTATGCACGTCGTACTTTTCGGGAGCACTTAAAGTATACCCAAATTAGTGTAGTTTTTGTCGTTTTATCGTCTCCAGCATTTCTCTTTCGTTATTAAAGCACAAAAACCTTAATAGATCTACGTTTTGCTATATTCAACTGGTTTAAGCCATACGTCGACAGCACGAAAATTCGCAAGTTTAAATCTAATCGACGTAACAGACCTTTTTCACTGTCTTTACTATGAAATAATATGGGACAACATTTTTAAATTTTTATCTTAAGTCATAATGACAACTCTCAGACACACAACAGAAATGTTTTCTTTTTTAAATATATTATACAAAAGTAACATACTTTATACTCTAGTTATAGGGAGGGACAATCTGTTATTAATGACTCAATGCTACTTAAAGGCTTGGAGCTTTATTTGTATTTTTTTGGCTTCAATGTGGTTGCGGCAAATTAGTCACCTGTCTAGGCGAATACCTAACTGCGTCATATTATCTGGTTGTGGTATGAGTATGTTATCATTGAAATTATTGGAGATATACTCCGATTAAGGTAAAAATTAACAACACAACAGAAATTAATTTTTATAAACATACTTCTCTTAAATCGAATGAGTACTCCTTAACAATGATCTAATTATTTACTGAACTGATATCCTAGATAAATATATTTGATGTTTCTTTACATCCAAACCGTTTTTAATACATTAATTAAATAAATATATTATATTATAATATATATTATGTTATGCTATGTAAGTATATTATTTAAGTTTTTCTTTTATTCAAGATATTGTATATATATTTTTACTATTATATGTAACTTATAATTTAAATTAAAAACATCATTAATTTTATTTCTTGCATTTTCTAATTCCTCTTCTTCGAATCTTATCCCCTTATCCTTTACTGTGTGAGTTAGGTCTCATTAATAATTTTTGATTTTCAAAAGGTTCACATCATATCTGGAAGAGTCTAATCTGCTCTGTTTCCTAACAACCCTATAGATTCTTTCAATGTTCCGTGTGGAAAATCAATTGCTTGTCTTTGTTAAGCTCTAGCTTCAATTATTCATTCCTTGCATTTAATTCAATTAAAATAAATAATATTATATAGAATTTTCATGGAAACAATAGAAATATTTTGTTTCCATTTTTACAACGAATTTATTTTCCTTATGAGTTTTCTTTGTTTGAGAAAAAATATTTTTATTTTAATATATGACACTTATAAGGAAAAGTTGCTTATTAGAATTGACATAAGTGTGCGTTCACACAGAATCCGATTAAAAATGCAGCAAAACATTAAGTATTAAAATTTTGTATATGTTTCTGAGTATTGTGTATTTTGTACTTTTAAGGACTCAAATGGAAAAGTAAAAGTAAGGACTCAAGGAGAAAAGCCCCTTCCATTTTAGCACTCCACGAAGTTGACTGACAGTATGAGCGATTGGTCGAAGTTTTAACGTTTTATGTCGGGTTAAAAATGTTATTTTTACTACCGACCATAGAAACTTAAATTGTTAAATATGATTTTTTTTTTTAATATTAATTCTAAAAATACTTTATATAGGTTAACAATAGGGACTTATTTATTTATTATTGAGTAAGGGATCGTGCACTGCGACCTTTAAAAGATCTATTGTGCCCCTTTGTCGGGTTAGAGTATTTCTCCAAGTCCGATTTCTTTAATGAAAGACAGTATGGATCCTATCTTCCCCAGTCTTGAATCCTTATGATCCATTAAGTACCCTCCTAGGTGTTTCTTTCGCTTATGCATCAGTGCCGGGCACTCCCCGAGCACATGGTATGCCGTTTCTCTCTCTTCCCTGCAGTATCTGCAGTCTGAGTTGGATTGAATTCCTAACTTCGATAGGTGATTATTCAATCTGCAGTGACCGGTCAGTAATCCCGTAATAATTCTTATGTTAGTCTTTGATTGCACTATGCAATCTTTAAAGCGTTTTAGGTTGTAAGTCCCTAAAAGCATTTTAGATTGTGAGAGTCTTGGTAACATTAACCAATAGAGTTCTCTCTCTTTTTTCTCTGCGTCATTCATGATAATGGATAGAGCTCCTTTGCCTAGACCACAAAATGGTTCTGGGCCTATCATTCTTGATGCCGCGCCTCTTCTTGCAAGTTTGTCTGCCATTTCATTACCTTGGATACCAGTATGTCCCGGAATCCATAAAAGGTGCACCTGATTGATCCCACCGAGTGTGTTCAGCTTGTCAATGCATTCCCATACCAGTTTGGATGTTACCTGGTAAGAACAATAGGGACTTACTCAAGTTCAATATTGATTCTTGTCACACATAAATATTATATATATAGGATATGAATATATGTTCCTATTTGATTATTAGATCATTTATCATTTTGATATCATCTATGGCAATATTTTCTCTTCAGAATTAGTTTTAAAGCTGCTATTACTGCTAGTGAAAAAATATTAAGGACGCCGGGTAAGAGACAAAACTTAGCGCTCTAAGTGCTCGCCTTCAAGAGCTTCTATGAAAAATAATAACCGAGATGTTTCAGCAGAAACAACTATCTAAGCAATTGTGTTAAGGAATTATGTACTCAAAGTCACTTGATATTTGGATATTATCAAACTTCAGCCACAACAGCGACATATAATATTTTTAGTAATCAACATATTTTAGAATAGGTAGTTGAATACAAGTCTAACATCTATTGTATATTTACACATTTTAAAGCTGTCTATTATTTAATGCAGAGAGAATTTATTATTCAAGCCCTGATATATCTCAAAATACTCAATAAACTGATAAATACTAAAAGAACTACTATACAAATTTTCAGTTGTCACTCTGGATAATCTGTCATTCCAATTCACAATGCTTAGAAAACCGAGACATGACGATATTATGTACACTATTTAATATAGCACTTAAAAAGACGATACGAGATATTTGAAAAGATTTGTTTGTACTAAGACCACTGATGATGAGTACTTGGCAATACTCGAAACAGCGTTGTATGGTCAGCCAAATTTCAATAAAATTAAAAAAATTTTTGTTTTTGTCCTTTCTTTCTGTGATATTCGAAAAACCCTCTACATTTTATATATATACTTCTTTGTCACTATAAAGAAACCTTAGCTGTATCGGCAACACTAATACATACTTTAAAAATATACATATTATACACCCAACTCTTTTTTTACACGGTTATTTTTACACGGATTTGAAGTTACACGATTGAAAAAAAAAAATTTTATGTAAAAAATTTTTTATCTAGTACGGTCTCAAAATCACTGTCTTGTTTGACACTTGCCATTTTTTTTACACGGTTTTTTTTACACGGATTTCTGAGGAATGTATCTACCGTGTAAAAAAAGAGTTGGATGTATATATATTATATATATATTGTACTTTAATATTTAATTTAATTAAATATTAGTAAATGATACGTGTATATATAATATTAATATATATACTAACGGAATCTCTGTAATTAGTTTGTAGAGAAAAGGGTATTATTTCGTTCTTTAGATGTTATTATAAAATATAAAAATAATCTCCAAAAATTAATTTGAATTACTACAATCTTTGTTTGGACTTCCTCTCCTGCTTACGACTACGCCCATGGATAGTTTTGAAGTATTTTACTTTGCTATGCCCAAATAAATTTCTGCTTCAATAAGGGACCTCTACAAAATTTGCCATCGTAGACTCCATACATACTTGGTTAACCATAATAACATATACATGTATTGCAAATATAGCATGTAAAAGCATATTATCTGATATATCTATATATATATATATAAACATTTTAGTGATTATTGAACAGTTGCTTTTTATTTTCAAATAATAACTTAAGTGATAAAAGAATTTTGAACTACGGAGTATGTACTATACATATATATAGGTACAATATGTAAAGTGAGTAATAGATTAAAATGGAACGTTTGTTAAGTGAGTAAGCGTAAAGGAATTTACTACTATATGTTATGACATGACAAAATGGTTAAACTTGTTTTGAGGTTTAAATAAGGACATATCTGCAACATGAACAGTTTCTCTTAAATAATTTAATAAGAATGCAAACTATTTCAAAGCAATGCCACAAATCGGGTAGAATGAAAATAATCGTAAACCTAAACACACACAATTCCTTGAACAAAATATGTAGTTTATGAGTCACAAATAACCACAATAAGCGAATATAATTCTTTTTGGAGATTAACTTGAAGTTATGCATCGCATAAACAGTTTCACATCTATAGGCCATCCATTCAGTATGAGATACGTTAACAGTGACGCACAGACAGAGGACGGAGTCAAAATACGAATAAATAAAATTGTGTAGAATTTTTCTGAATAAAGTTTTAAATTGACAAAAAAAAAAATTCAAAATAAATACTAAACAATTTTCTTTTAATTACAGTTTCGCAATTTAATTAAAGTCAATAAAAAACTGAAGAGAGCTAAATAACAATAAGTCCATATTTCATCAAAAAACAAAGAAAAAACAACAGTTCAATTAACTCCCACACAACAAATCTTCAAATTAAAATCAACTTTGTTAACAGAAAATATAAAAAAAACAAAACTAAAAAAAATACAAAAAAATTAATAATAAAAAAATATTAAAAAAATAATTAAAAAATCCAATATGCAGTGCGGTCTGGAGCAAATGAACGATTGCGAACGTTCGCCAAATCGAACAAATCTCCGCGTCAATTTCAACGAGAAAGGCTCAGAAGTCAAGGAGAGACGTGAAAAGTTCCTCACCGCCAAATATGGTTCACATCAGATGAGTTTAATTCGAAAGCGCTTGGCAGTTGAAATGTGGCTTTATGATGAACTACAAAAACTCTTCGATCCACCAGTAAGTATTCACTATTCACTATTTGCACAAAATACTAATAAACTCTACTTTGAACTTTGCTTTGATCATTACTTCATACTTTACTTTAAAATTAATAAATAAAAAGATAGACTAAAATAGTTCATTCTTTACACAAATATGGTAGTTTTTTTTATATATTTATTTAAAAAAATTTATATTGAATTGACTTTCTTATTACAAATGCGAGTTGGAAACCCAACTCACAGATTAAAGCGGTTAAACACAATAAACTTTTAGCAATTTAATGTTAAGCAAAATAAATTAATATATTATATTTAAAAAAAAATTATAAAATAAAGAAATAATAAAAATTAATACAATTTATCACATATTTAATGTAATAAATTTAATCCCAGTTTGAACAAACAAGTCACAAGTACGGCTTTTGCCAATGAAGACTGACTATAAGCTTCAAATTTGGCAGGGTACAAGTTTAACGCTTGGTACTTGCAATCTCAAAGAATAATTTACGAATAATTAAATATAAGAAATAATTTTAAGACCACTAATGATGAGGTATTTGGTAATTCTCGAAACAACTGAATGGTTAGACAAAAATTGAATTCATTAAAAATAATAAAAAAAAATTTTGTTGTTGCAATTTCACTACTGTTTAATAAAAACCTCTGTATTGAAAATAATATTTTATATTAAGAATTTAGTTTCTTTCTTCAAAACAGGCGTTAAAAATTAATTTCACGTATTTAATGTTAAAATTATTTATTATTAAAACTTGACTTTTACATTGCAGACTGAAGCTATTGATGTAGATATAGATGAAATACTAGATATGGATACAGACGACATCAGAAGATCTCATCTAATTGTAAGTTCAAATAATAATTATAGATGTAAAACACAATTTATATATATAAGTATGTTTGTAATATACTTAATCCGACTGTTTAAGATTTTTAGTTACCATTCTCTATTAAAATACCTAAAATAGCAGAACTAATTAGATTACCACTAATGTCTACCATCTATAATGTAAGGTTTAATTTATAATTAAATAAGGTGACATATTTTAAAACTTTATTTTAAATAATTAAATCAAATATTTTATTAGGAGAACTATAAACAAAATACGAGTAGTTTGTTGAAGTTTTAACAATGACTATAACTTATAGAAGTCTGTTGTCTGTAAGCAACTGAACATAATAACCCCCTCAGAGGATTATTTACTTTTAACTGAATTTACATTAAATTCCAGAACATATATTTAATTAATTTAAAATTTAAATAATATTACTTGTGGCATCAAATTTTATATATAATGTTTACATATTAACTAGTTTTCTACACCAGGACTTTTCTGTTTAAAACCCGACCCGACCGTTAAAAAATGGCATAATTTTTTATATTTATTCTAATTATAAACATCTGACGTTAATAACTTGGTTTCGAATGTAATCATCCCATGTATTCCAAGTAAATGATCAGTTTCAAGTACATATTAACAATAGTTTTAATATTAAATGCTAGTTTTGATTCTTAAAAAAGATCAATGCTTTAAGTTAAACTATTTATTATTATGGCATGTTCTGCACAATATTTGATTGTATAAACTTAGCCTATTCACAAAGACTTTGTATAAAAGTTTGCCAATTTTACCTTTCTCGAGCGACATATCTCATTTCACCTATCGATTTGTTCTTTTCATTGTTTATGGTTCTATGCCAAGATTTGCGTAGTCGTTCTCGAGCTCTACTGCCTTGCGGATTTCAGATTAGTGCCGCATGTGTTACGTCATTTGTGCTTTGGCGTAACGTAACGTATCCAATCTACCTATATTTCCTTTAAGTTAAACTATAGAATATGTGTATTTAAGATATAGTTTATAAAGAACTATCGTTGATGATGTTTTTATAGTCCCCCACACGAGTATAAATATAAAACTTTTTTCAATTCTCATATTTTTTTCTAATAAAATATATTTTCCAATATTTTCAGAGATTATTGTCAGTCTGCAAACGCCCACAGTCGGACATTTTGGTAAATTTTTCTCATACATTTTTATTATTAATTAATTTTTTTTTTTAAATAAAAATAAATTTTACTCATAATTTTTATTATTTCATTGCAGAAATTTATCAGCGATCTCCTTGATCGCGCAAAAACGCTTTAAACGCCCGACAGCAGAAATACGTTTTTCACAACAAATTCTGTTAATTTGTTATTTTTCTTTTATAAATTTATAAACTTAAGTTTAGCTATAAGAAATTGAAATATTAAACTTTATTATACATACAAATATGTTGTAAATTTAGTTTTAATTTTTCGCAACGCACTCCTAAGTTCGTTACTTTTTATTTAAATTATTTTTAAATTTCAAAAAAAAAAAAAAACTACCAGAAAAAAAAATATTGTAATAATGAATAATAAATAAATTAATATATATCAAAATAAATATAAAATTAGCATATTTTATGAAAGGCATAAAAATGTAATTCAAAGAAATTAGTTTTAAATATCATTAAATTAATTAATAAATAAAATAAAATAAAATAAAAATGGCTAATTACATTTTGTACTAAGAAAAATAAACTCGATTAAGATCATATTTTACGCATATAACATAAATAAATGAATTTAAAAAACAAAAACTTTTTAAAATAATGGACACATTTTTTGAGCATATAAAAGGTAAAATTACAATTAATTAAAAAAAAATTAACAACAAAAAAATTAAATTATATTAAATTTATTTTAGAAAATTTATTTAAAAAAAAGTTTAGTGAAAATGCTTAAGTGGTTGTCAAAAATTGTTTGTGCTGAATTTTAAACAATTTTTTTTAATAAAATATATAAAAATAATTAATTTTTTTTTATTAAAATTTAAAAAAAAATAATATTTGTCGTTAGTATATGTAATGATGTATTTTTATTATGTTGCGTTAATAAATAAATTGCTTTGTTTGTACTCTCATTTTTTTTAGTAAAATATATACTTATAAGTATAAGCATTGGACACGTTTGTAATAGTATTTATATATAAATATAAATGTTTATATAGCTAAATAAATATTTATATATATATAACAAAATATAAATAGTTATACATAAATGGGTGAACGCAATTTTGTAAAGTTTTTATCACCAAAATAAATATGAAAGCTCAGGTTCACTGCCAAAATGTGGAGAGAAAGATTTTTTTCAATTAAAAAAAAAAAAATTATATTAATATCAAGTACATATTTTAAATTATATATTATTGGATTTATATAGTAACCAAATTAGAATTATTAAATAAATTCTTTGAAAGAAAATATCAGCAAATTACTTTGAACAAAATTTCGAAAAAGTGTTGAGTAAAGGATAATGAATGCTATTAATCGGAGAGGCTATAAAACTCAGTATATATATATGTATATAGTTTTTTATCAAGTGAAGATTTTAAAATTCCAAATACAACTACATATTATATAAACATATATATGATGGTCAAACCAGTCAAATAGTTAGTAACCTATTTGTATAGATAGTAACCAATTGTGTTGCTATTAAAAAGAAAAATATACTTTTTGTATTGTTCATAAATTTTCTACAGGAATTTCTAATTCATGATGGACTTTGCTTAACTGAAGAAATTCAAACTCAAAAAAATACTCAATCTCTAACCCAATGATATCTTTCAATACAAATGCAAGAAAGCGAAAGGTGAAAAGCTCTCTGTGCCAGAATATGAACTAAATATCTGCAATCCTCTGAAATGTAGTTATTTACACAGAACTGGTAATTTAAACGGTATTTTTACCGCTATTAACGGTGCTTTTAAAACATATTGAATATTTCGTAGATCCGATTTTTTTAAGTACCTCCGAAATATAGCTATTTGCGCAGAACTAGGTATTTCTACTGCTATTTTTAACAATGGTTTTAAAACATAATAAATATTTCACCGATCTATTAAAACATTAATGTAGAATTAATTCTATTTAGCTATATTAAATAGATTGGTTATATATAAGGACATGCGTACATACAAAATGGTTTACTGGATTAAAAATGTATCAAATCATATCATCCAATAATAGACCGGATTTGTTATTGAAAAAGTTGCAAAAAGAATTAAATAAAATATTAAATATTAAAAAAAAAAAGTAATTCTCCAACAAAATGATTTTTAGTTCTTGTTTTAACAGGAAGAATTTTTAGAGTTCAACAGATGATAATAGAATCCACCAGCCATTATAATAAATATAAATTTTTTTTTTAAAGAAATTGTTTTTTATTACAAATTATTATAGTATATATAACAGCCAAAAATATTTCCTTACTGCAAAGGGAGTTTTTCGATGAACTGTCAATTTTCTATTACGGAACATTTTTTTACGACTTATTAAAAACCGTAAGAACGATCATAAGCTAAGATGCATTAGTAGTCTTTAATCCATTTTAAACCAAAAAATATTTTTTACATGATGTATATTAGGGAACTATATTCGTAAAAACGAATAGGCATTAGGATAACCTTCATTATTATACTTTAATGCCACTTTTGTGAAAACGAATAAGTATTAGACTAACTTTCATTCAATGGTTCTTCAACCCATTTCTAAGTAAAGATATATTTCTACTATCAAGAAACTACTTTCCATAAGTATGAATGGTCTTTAACAAAAATTCGTTTTCAATTTTTTTACCCACTTCGAACCGCTTCATATTTTTCAAGACATATCTTTCAATAAGCTATTTCTCAATCAATCATTGCAACTTGCCGCGTGAGGAATCCTAGAGATCATATATTATTTGCGAATATAGACAAGATACCGATATTTACTAGTTTATAAAAATAACTAACATATCTCTGAAAAAATGTTTACTATTAAAACTAAAAAAAAAATTAATAAAAGTTGTCTAACATATTGTTGGTTGAAACAAATAGAGCTACATAGATTAATGCATTTAAACTGTTGTCTCAAATATTATATGAACTATTCGAAGCTTCGATCATTTTATATACGAAACGTTCAAAAATCTACGAATACCATATAATACACGAGCATTTCCTGTTATACGTTATGTAGGAAAGAAATCAAATTTTGAATACAAAAAGGATTTAGTGGCAGATTTAGTATTTAAGTAGTTTGAATATCTTCGAGCAGTTCAAACGTTTTCGTACATTTCAAGTATTCGATTCAAATATTCGAATGCGATAATACTTGAACTACTCAAGCACTGTTAACGCTGAACACTTGAAAACGGTAATCTAGACATCTGATGAAATAAGAGAGTTATTCACGTCACTGTGTAGCTCAGTCAATCTTTTACCGAGAACAGAATATATTATAAAACTAAAAGAAAGATAACTTAGTAGTTCATTAACTGGGTAAGGTAATGAAGATAAGCATACAATTTTATCATTTAACACTGTTAAAGCATAGCTTATCTAAACTCCCCTATAATTTTCTTCTGTTCTTCACTTCAAGAGAATTCACTCTATGATTGTATTTTATTAATTATGAAACGTATATCGCCAATAAATTTAGTATAGAAATAGATTAAAACTATGTTGAAATGAAAATGAATAAATAAACTGAAAAATTTATGATCTAATACATGTGACATAAACTTCTTCACTAAACACACTCAAAGAACCGGAGAACTATCATAACTTCACTTAAGCCTAAAATACAAATCAAGTAAAAGCCAAATTTTTCTATAAGATCTCAAGTCTGTAAACTTAATCAAGTCAGTAAACCACTTCTTCGATTTTTTTTAAATAATTGAACTAAACCACATTGATAAACAGTATTGAAGATATGAAGGTAAACTGCACTGACCTATTTTAAAAATTTATGAGGTAAACAGCACTATTAGATCGTTGACCATCACCTTAGAATGAAAGAGTTTTCTATCGCTCTCCTTACGGCATTTACGTTGTATTTATTATCAACTTTTTGTAAAGTAATTATAGAATTAATAATATTATAATTAAAATAAAAAATTACTATGTAGCACATTTAATTGCAGTCATTAAAATTATTTATATATTTTTTTTTTAATCTATTAACGTCATTATTTTTACTGCAAAAAATCTAAGTACAGCCAAAATTTTTATATATGAATTGATAAAACTAAATCAACTTCAATTAAAAAATAAATATTTTAATTTTTATTAAGTTTTTTTTATAATTACTAAATAATTGCGTAAATATGTAAATTAAGCCGATGTTGCAATATAAAACCTAATAAATTTTTATTTACGAGTATATAATTTTATATTTTTTTATATTATATTTTTATTTAGCACAACATATTTCTTCTATTTGTATTTTGAAATTATTTAAAAAAAATTCTATAATACATATTTAAAATTTTAAAACAATTTACTGTTAGTAAAGTTTATAATGATTCTTCTTTTTGGAATTTAAATTATAAATAAGCTTACATATAAATAAAAAAAATAAAAATTGGCTTCTTATATGTAAATATCTAATAAAAATTAATATCTGTCTTAAGAGATATTAAGTTATTAAGTAATATATATATGTATAAGTTTTATTGAACAGTAATTAATACAATACAATAATAATGCGAAAAGGTATTATTTCCAAATTTAAAACTCATTGTATTTAAATTTAAACGAGCAATTATTAAAAAAAATAACTTTACAAAATTAATTAAATTTAAAGAGATCTTATAAAATAATTCGTAATTGATTAATATTATAATTTTTACTGGAAGAAAAATTCATTTAATTCATTTCATTCATAAAATTATTTTTCACATTTTCATTAATACAGTAATCATAAGATAACATATCGTTATTTTATTTTATATAAAATTTAAACATTTAAAATATGTCCTTTAATTTATATAAAATAATTTACCGAATATTAAGAACATTAATTTGATCTGTGTTAAATTTAAACTATCATATAATATATATTTTTTTTCATTTAATTTTGTTATCAAATTGAAGTCTTAACATTATTATTAATATCATTTTCGATGAAATGATAACATCATCCCCACCATCTCTATCATCATCACACACACACAATCATTATCATTAGATCTTTCATTCATTCATTTGCTCTTAAAAGAGTTCAATTTTTCTTAATAGTGTATTAATGACATTTTTCTGAGAACTATATTAATATTGTCTATTTCTTCATCATCATTATTATAAACTCACATTAATAATTAATATCATTATAATTTTGATAATTATTTTGATTTTCTTCATTGATAATCTTTTTATCATATATATATCAATGAAATCCTTTTCAAAATTTTCAAAATCATTATCTCAGTATGATCATTTTTATCCTTATCGTTATCACTATTATCCTAATTATATATATCATATTTTTATGATAACTATTATCATTATTAT